TTTGGACTGGTCTGGAATACTCTCCTGACGCCGTTTTTACCTTGATGTTTCTAACTTTACAGCCTTGTCCTGGATACACTTCAACTATACGTGTCCAACATAACATTCCACTTTCCTCGTATTGCATTTCTACCCGCTACGATTACTACATCATCAACCTGTACATTTCGTCTCTCTAGGTTCCATTTTCTTCTTTGTACCAGTAGTCGAAATACGTCCCTTGTCCAATGTCTGCAGAATGACTCAACGTTTTTCGGGATAAACTTGACTCATTCTCTTGGATTTTTCGTTTCTTGAAATGGACCTAGGGGTACTTGAGGAGATGCTCTGCCCAATAGCATATCCAGTCGACATAGATTGGAGCCATTGTCTGGACCGATTGGTCTTTGGTTGGTAATGGTTGCCACCTCTAGCGAGAAAGTATACAGTTTGAAAGGAGTAAGTACATGCTTATGAGGGGTGGAATGGGACAAAAATATAAATTGGTGAAGACAGATGTTTTCGGGCAATGTCTCATGTTTTCGGGCCGTATGTTTTCAGTTCACATGTTTTCGGGCAATGTCTCATGTCATCGACATCGGACCGTATGTTTTCAGTTCACATGTTTTCGGGCAATGTCTCATGTGATCGGGCAATGTCTCATGTGATCGGGCAATATCTCATGTGATCGGGCAATGTCTCATGTGATCGGGCAATGTCTCATGTTTTCGGGCAATGTCTCATGTTTTCGGGTAATGTCTCATGTGATCGGGCAATGTAAATGCTACATCCGGGTTACCAACAATTTGGCGCCTTTTTTGCCACGTGGGTTCCAATATCCAACATGGCTGCCGAAAGGGAGTCGTGGAGAAGAAACGTGCTCGAAAGAACTTCCTCTGTGCTTCAAGAAGCGGCAAGAAAAATTGAAAATGAACTGACAGTGTTATAAAGTAAGCTTTGTTTTATAAATATATGTCATATGAAATATAGTACCCATGTTTATTAGCCTGTTCGATCAGTGTTGCATAGCCTCTGCCTGCAAGTTTTTAATACTACTACTAGTTTTCGCACTTTTCAATACTACTACAAGTTTTCGCACTTTTCAATATTCTTTTTTTATTCTTTTAGTACGGATACCAACATAAGTCAGTCTCACTCTCAGTCAACTACCTCTTCTAATGCTACCGCGAATTTCAGGTATAGTCTAGGAATAGCCTTATAAATTTGATATATAAATTATATGACAGTCCAAAATACAGGGCTATTCCATTTTTAATATTCCTTTTTTATTCTTTTAGTACGGGTGCCAACATAAGTCAGTCTCACTCTCAGCCAACTACCTCTTCTTCTAATGCTACCGAGAATTTCAGGTATAGTCTAGGATTAGGAATAGCCTTATAAATTTGATATATAGATTATATATTACAGTCCAGAATACAGTGCTATTCCATTTATTACCCCCCCCCCAATGGGTAAGGGACTGGTCATTTATTAGAGGGGGGTGGGCTGGTGCAAATGGGGAGGGGGTCATACCTTTTTGTGCACTTGAAAATGGGGGGTTGCATAAAATTCTGCAACCATTTTTGGGGGATCATACATTTTTGTGCATTCCATTTTCCTATATATTCTACAAAAGAAAACAGCACTGAAGGGATCAAGCACAGTCAAATTTTTAATATTTATATGAAAACAAAACAATATAGTGACAACTACAAGCATAGGCGTACGGGATGGGGGGCAGGGG